TCTGTATATCCCGGCGAACATGTTTAATTGTTAATTCATTACCAAATCAATTCAATATCAATTTAACTTTTGACAGCGACGGTTAAACATAGCAATGAATGATATCTCGCTCGTGTTGGTGATTTACCTAGCTGTCATATAACGTCAAATGTAGCAAATAACCGATAACAAGATTAACATATCCCTAGCATATCTGATATTTGTAAGTCCTTATAATATAATTCATTCAATAATCCAGAATATGATATGAATATCGGTAATGTTGCCAACCAACCTAATCTGTGTTTTCTATTGTCATAATTTTTAGCTAAAATAGTTTTTCTAATTACATGTCATGTTATGATAGTTTCATTGTCAAAATGTTAACAATAGAATTCAGCCACTGGTAATGGCGTTTGATAGAACTGCTGACAATTATCGATATGAAGTTTCATAGTATAAGAACCATCGTAGTATACTAATATATATAATATACTATACCGTCTATATAGTATACTATGCTTTAGACATGCAGTAAGGTAACTATTTTATTTGCTATTAAATGGCCCAATATATTGTATTGATAATTTAAGTAATCCACACTGGATTACTGGGTTTCACACTTCTTGTAGTATGTAGTATATGTAGCTTGTATAAATCATAACTTATAGACGTAAAATTTAGCATATTAAGTTCCAATTACAGAGTCCAACGTACCTAAACTTATATTATACTAACAGTTCTATTGTCCAGTAAAATGTGGGTAATTTTGACCTAATGATGATTACCCCTCCCGGGATTACTGCAAACGGACAAAACATAGTTCTGTTTTTATTTTATCATAATTAAGATTAATAGTTTATAGTTATCAAGCGTATCTACCGTATGTAGTAATTTGACAATATAGTTGATCACGTGTTCTAAATCAAATTGTAGTGTATAGTTGATATTGCTTAGTTTTAATCACTTAACACTTTTAAATGTACTAGTAAATAAGACACACTAATTCTAGTTAACATACTACCCTTGGTTTGTTTCTTTAAAAATAAAATTATAAATAAAGAAAAATATAGGTAGGGATTTTTTATTTAACAATCAAAATTAAATTAAATCTAAATTATTAATGCTAATACGAAATCCTGGAAAAATTATAAAATTATAAAGAAATTATTACCACCTTGATAGGAAGAGATTTATGACCTTAAATTATAAAATTTGTAGAATATTAATTAGATTATATTAAATAATATTATCGCGCTATATGAGTACCTTCCTACGTAGAAACAAAACAAGAGGTTTATTAACTTGGGACTAGTTAGGTAGTATTGTAGAATATTAAAATTGAACTTATATCTAATTAGACGCGGGTCTTCATTAAATGAAACTGGTCTATTATTTGTACATTTTCTTTATCTGTTCTTTGAATATAAGGTTACATAAAAGGTAAAACGAGGACGCCCTACACCTAAAATCCATTAAATAATGAAGGCCTTTAAACGAATCCTTGAAACTATTATTTCCAAAGAAACATTTTAATTTTTATAAATAATATTAATTTCTATTCGTAGATTTTGAAAACGATTGACGATAACAACGATTAATTGACGAGAACGATAACTAATTAATATTGAAAATTAAAAAATAAAATTTAAACGACACACAAATATACACGTATGCACTTCGCACGTCGGATTAAAATAGACTCTAACTTTCTAGCTTCAAAATTAATTTAAAGTTTTTTGTCGGTATTTTACTGAGCGTGTGACATGAACCGCATGTTACATATTTAAAAGATAAAGAATAAAAGATATAATGTTCGCTGGAGAAATTCATTCAATTACCTATCGATTTCGTAATAAAATATAGTGAATATGTTCAGTTGGTCATATTCCCAGCTCGAATAATAAATGAATGCAGTTGAAACCTTCAACTTAAATACATACTTTATATATATTATATTATATATACCTTTGGGGCAGGTATTTACATGTACATTTTGCAACTGGTAATCAAAAAAGACAATTTTGTATTTTTAGAGCTTACATTATTAAGGGTAAAAATTATCGCTAATTGAGTAAACATTACGTCGATTTGTATATACATTCTTTGAATTTTAAGATTAAATTCATTTTTACATTGAATTATAAATTGCCTACAAGGCTATTTAGACTACTAGTTAGTGTTTCAAAATTATTTGTATTTTTGGAGAGAAGTGTTTACATGCAGGAATAGACATTTAAGGAATTGGCTAATAATTAGGAGTGCTGTCTTAGAAGTGATTTAAAAAATATAACTAGACTCTGAGTCTATTATTATTGTAACCATTACTTAACAAATTGTAATTTAAATACATTTTACATTTTAATAGCTGCCTTCATATGACACGTTCTTTCACGCGTGATCAGGAGCGCGCCGATTTAACGCGGGAATGAACGGCACAATAGAATAGAATAGAATAGAAAATCCTCAGATTTTATTTTAAAAGGAAACGTTTAAGATTTATAAATCACTAACATCTCTTTGATTAGGAGATACTCTATAGTCAGATATCCACCATCTTGCAAATTGTAATACCCGCATGAACACTGATTGACGCACGAAAGAACGTATACATGAAGGCAACTCTTCATTAAATATGTATCATAATTTAAATATTACCTGAATGTAAGAAAAATTTATTGTGCTATGTACTCTAAGAAAAATCTAAAATATATGTATCTGTAGGGAATTTTTATTCGAAACAGGGTATGGTATGACTAAATAAAATATATATCTTAGCCTTGCAGATAAATTAACATTCTATTTGCGATGTCGCTAATGGGAAAGAGTCGAAAGTGTATCGAAATGCATTTAACTGCGCGTAATCTGCGGTCTCCTATCGTGAACTTAGGAAATTTATGTCACAACTTTTATATTTCTATTAGCGACGATTCTTATAGATAGTTACTTTATATACAGGTCTAGGCATATGGCAAATAAATGTAACGAATAGTAAAACGATTGTTACTGTACCCGTAAGATCCTGTTTATTGTTATGTCTAATGCTTGCAACATCGATCGATTCACTCTACTGTAGTATACAAGCGGCAAATGAATTCGCATATATATATTGGTTTTAGAAAAGATTAATATTATATAGAAATTAGTTATTAGTATATATATACATATATATGCGATGGAATGGAATTGTGTGTTGGACTGAAATCGTATTGTTCATTGTTTCTATTACCGTTATAGTCAATCTTGATGTTACAATAACATTTATAATTCATCTACAGTTGATAATTTTCATATATTTTCAAAAAATATAATTTTGTGTAAAACTGACAAAGAAAATTTAGACCAGATTGTATAATTGATGGACCAGACCCGAGGTTAGCATAAGTATTATAAGTGATTATATATCTTTATCTTATAGATGTTCTCACTTTTTATTTCAATGTAATTACAAACTTACTTCAATATTGTTACTTTTTGGAATAAAGTAATTTAGATAGCGACTTTAACATTTATTGTTTTAATTAATTAGATTATACTATGTATACCTATATCGTATGATTTAGTACTTAGCTTTCTAGACCACCTGCATTGTGTTTTCATGATTATTTCAATAAATATAGTAGTGTAACAATGATTTGTTTTATTTAACAGTACACCCTAATTTTTATTCTAGATAACGAATTAATAACCTTTGTGCAAAGTTACCTGGGTAGATAACTCTGTCAAAATCTATAGGTAAAAATGGCTACTGCAAGCAGAAATATCTGTATACTTATACAATATTCTGATAGATTTGTGATAATAAAGCTCCCAGGTTATTTTTATATCACACAGATTTTGAATATTGGCCATAACCTCGGTATCCCAGCCGTTTGATGCACGCAAGAGACGCTTGTATTCATGAGTATGAGTGTTTGTATTTATCTGGATATTGTATTTACGAAAAAATGTATTTAAGTATTTTTTGTGTACTTAATACTCAAAACATTTATCTGTGGACTAGATGGCACTGAGTAAATTGTCCAGAGTTTATTACTTCCAATGGGTACCATATATATTTGCATAGACATGTGTAATATCAGACAATTTATGTCTCTGTACTGATACCGACTAACATTCCTGACTGTAGCTAAATGTAGAAAGATATAGAACAACCTAAAACTAAACCTAAAAAAATTTGGTCTCCGCCTTCTTGACAGCTTTATTCCTTGGCAATGGCGACGCTAGATCATCATCGATGGTACTTCTGGTACATATCGCTTTCCATCTGGTAGACCATCAATTTGTTAGTCATACAAAAATCAAAAATGCAGATTGAGTACAAGGTCCTACATGAGCCCTATTCAGTTAGAAATGATAATACCTACTACGATAATGATCCAAAAAGTTAAATATTTAATAACGCCACCACATTGTTGAATAATGGGCGGATGTCAGGAGAGAGTGCAAACTTGTTGATAATAAAAATATTATAAAAATTGTACAACAGTGGTCATTAACTCACTACGGTGTGTTATTGATCGCGTTGATTCTATGAAAGAGTATTAAATATCAATTTTGTACATTTAGTACATAATTGTTTGTGAGCTCATATAAGTACCTAATTATATTTTATAAATTTATACCTCATTAACCATTTCATCCAGATAAAAAGCAGCTCATTTGTAAAATGTTTTTTTTTTCGGAGAGAAAAGGTATTAATGGTTTATATAAACAACATCTTAGTCCTCCGTATATTAAGAATTGTCAGTAATTGAGACTAAGTGAACTTTTACTAGGAATGTACTATCAAATAAATTAGAATGTCGGTTTTCACGCGGTCCATATTGAAAAACATCGTCGTTAATTGATGGTGAATTTGCTACTAACCTGACTTTATAGTCATCATTGACTAACCTCGTTGCCCCTCCAGTGCATATCATTAATGCCGGTGGTTGTACCATCGTATTTATTTTTGCAATTGCAATGGTAAACAAGCTGACGATCCACCTGATGGTAAGCGTTAACCGACATCTACAAACATGAACGGCATTACGAACATTAAGACATTAACGTGTGACGCCCGTGATATCGCTCTTGTATTGCCATTCCGTAAGACTACACTATTATTCCTCGATTATTGTAATTCAAAAGCCTTATCAGACATTTCAATCGAAATACAGCTTGCAAAGTAAGTATTGGCGATTGAAATAGGTAGGTACGACTGTTATGCCAAAAGGGAAATCAGAGGCATTGTTAAGTGTTAATGTTATAATGAATTCGACACTTGAATTTGAATGGCTAACCTAACATCCTACCTGTGTTTCCATCATCGGAGTATCAGTCGGAAATACAAATAGTACACAAAGATTTTATTTTGTGTTGGCCTAATTTGAAGTACCGGCCTCTGTGATGCAATTTAGAGGAGTAAACATTAGCACTCACCGGTACCTCTTCACACTCACACAGATACCTCTTTAAACATGAAGTAAACATCTGCATGTTATGTTATGCATGTTAAACGTAATCATTTGCCAGCGGTTCCGAGCCGCTGCCACGCTGCGTGAATAATAGACTAGAGCAAAGAAATTGTCACCATAGCTAGCATTGTATTTTATAATAATGGAGAAATTTAACACAATTCCCCTTCCTGTCCATAAAAATATATTATATATTGAAATGACACATTTGTTTTCATTTCATACGTGTTGATATTCGTAATATAACGTAACGCATATATTCAGAAACAAGTTTACAATGACTTTAAAATATTCATTTATTTTTATCGTATTGCTAAAACTATGCCATGGAAATGAAGTTAACAGAATTATTCCTAGAAACATAATAGGAAGAGGTATATTGAATGGAGTGTCCTTTCCTAAATGGAATAGAGCATCTATTGTGTCAAATCCTAATCGAGATACACAAAATGCAGAAGCAAGATTTTGGCCGCCCGCACAGAAGGAAAGTAGGTGTAAGTAATATATTTATTTATCAGATCAATACAATGTATGTACTCGAACATTAAAAAACAATTAGGTATATTATATTATTTTTATAAAACAAAATTTGCGATCCAATTATCATCATAACACAATGTTTTCCGTTGCTAAGCGAAATTTATTAATTGCTAATTAGTGAACCTTTTAAATCACTGTTTTTAGCGATTCGTGGAAAAATATTGTTTCTGTTAATTAGTATGATATTTTTAAATAAATATACTAGCTAACCTGCGCAACTTCGTTTGCATCACACTTACTTGGCATTTATCATTTCGTCCAATTTACACAATATTTATAGCCTATGTATTGTTCTGATATATAAGCTATATTATTGTAAAGCTTCATCAAAATCCGTTCAGTAGTTTTTACGTGAGTAACAAACATACATCCACACTCACAAAATTTCGCATTTACAATATTATTAATATTAAGACATGTATATATATCTTAAAGCTTTTAATATGAGTATATACTAGAATTATATTATATGGATAATAACAATAGTATATATAAATATATATATCTATATAATCAATATACATACACTTAGAAATATTAATGTAACATTTATATATAAAAGAATTTGTATTATTTGTATATATAATGTTTTTGGCGTCAATATTCGTAATTCAAATATTGGGTAGGTACTATTTTTATTTAACTGCCTTAGTAAATGCACACCCTGATTAACCCACGAGGTCAAAATAATCACTAAGTTTTCTGAGATTTGGCAACTATTTGTTCCATAAGAATATTCTAGTAAGTACTGAAACCATAAAAAAAAAGGTTAATGTAATTAGTTAAGTCGTTTAATCTATGTAAGTGTAAGTTATGCCATGACTAAGAGAAATAGGTAAATATATAATAATATTTTTAAAATAAACAACATGTACAACTATTTATATTATTACATGAAAACTTCTAAAAGTTCTTCAACACTATAATAACTTACGTTGAAATTAATTAATGAAATAAAAGGTTCCAATTTGTATACGTAGTAATTCATTTTTAGTTTTATCACTGTTCACGGTGGTAACATTTCCAAATGGTGGATGCGCGGGTGCTTCAGGTGATAATGGCACGTGTATGACTGCGCGGGAATGCTCCTCTCGGGGTGGGTCTGCTAACGGGTACTGTGCCAATGGATACGGCCTTTGTTGCATCTGTAAGTAGTATAACTAATACATATTCATCAAACACATTTTAATACAATGCTTCTTTATTACTCAATGGCAAAACATTAAATTGTCTCACTGCTTTCAGTGGATTTTTTTGGTTGTTTATATATATAGCTAAAGAACTATATATATAACGCATTTTACGTAAAACCTTAACACATAAACAGATAGACAGTTATCGCCTCCTAACTATTTTACAATTTTATTTAATATAAACGTGAAAATAAAGATTAGAAAAAGCATGGACCCTCATGATGCCTAAATCTGATTACGAAAATGGAATTCAATAGTGCACATTTTCAATTTTGTGCTATCTAATAAAAATCTTCGATATGAATCCTAGGCAATTAAACTTTTCGGAGAGCAGACGAGAGGCTTTCGAATATTTAATGGTAAAAGTTAGATATGAAAGTACTGTCGCATCTACTACAACTGAAACTACTAAATAATGACGCAATGAAACTGCAACTATGTAAGAATTTAAAATCAGGGTAACAACTGGATAGCTTCTTAGATCGACTAATGTGTAGCTAAATGGGAGCCATTGCTCCTATATTGCAAAAAAATCAAACAAGTCTAAAGCGATACTAGTATAAATTTCTGCTACCTATTTACAATACTTAATAAAAAAATAGGTATAACATTTTCGTAACCCTGCACTCGTATTCGAAAATATATTCATGTCTGTACCATTTGCATTCAGAACTCAATACGACGGGATCGAATTTTGGCTTTCTCGATGCTTTGATCTTGACATTTCCAGACAAATCTCATCAAAATGTACGTCTATGCATTTTCAATTTTAGTCTTCAAATAACTCTTTGAGGTTTCCCTGAAAGCAGGAAATTTGTTGTTTCAAAAGTCAAATTGCAACAAACATTTGAAACTATAAAATGAATGTTGTTAACGTAACAAATGTCGACTCTCGCAGCTTTGTGCAGTGAGATATGAGTAAATTCCACATTACAGTGATGCTTCACGTAAGTATAGTCACTGCATACAAAGTAAATGCAGATGTGGCATCTTATATATAATAAGTATTTAAAAATAAAAGGCCAAAGATACACATACAATGCTGTGTAGTAATCAAAGCATGTATTGGTGTGTAATAGACAACTGATATACTTACTTGACTTTTATACACTATTATTATATTTGAATTTTTTTAGAAATGTGTATGTACATGTTAACTATATACCCATATTTATTTAAAGAGATGTGCTCATGTATCTCAAATGTATTGCGCTGGGATTCAACATGCAATCAGCGGAAAATCAGGTAGTATGCTAAACCGTTTCACCACTGAGGACATTTATTTGGATTCAGAATTGTGAATTCATAGAAATGTACTTTAATAGATGTATTTTTTTTTTTATTTTGTTGGTTTTGCTAATTTCCAGGTTTACAACTGTAGCAGTGTGACATCTGTGTTTCGGATTTCGATACTTAGACCCGTTAATTATAATTGCCTTATATCTCTGTTTCCCATAGTTATGACATCATGCGGAAGTTCTACTTCAGAGAATGGGACCTACTTTGTTAATTCCGGATATCCATCGTCTTATGATGGCACGGGATCATGTGAACTCACCGTCATCAAATCCCACCCAGACGTATGTCAGATTAGGTATTTTACCATATTTTTTAAGTTGTTATACCCTTATATTGTCCAATAGATTAGAATTACTCATTTCAATTGAAAAATTATTAATATAAAACTAATTGACTTTTCACTTATTATTTATATTGTTATATTTACGCAATACTATGTAATATTGAGTAAATATAACATTATAACATCTAGAAACTTCTTAAGAAATCAAAGAAATCTTAGCCAATGAGGGTAGTTCCAAGAACTATAACTGTCAAGGCTGGATTGTATAGCAATCTTTTCTACGAGAAACCCTTTGAGTAAATCGTTATACCTTTGAGTAAATTCACTTATATATTATTTTCTTAATTAAGAACGCCTCTACGTAGAACCAACTCCAGTAACTTCCATTCAAATATTTAATAAACTACCACAGGTACCTAATTAGATGCCTTCAAAAAGGTTTAATGTAGAACTACGCAAATAGCTCGCAGAGAAACGTTCTTAGAATTTCAGAGAAACATACTTTTCTTGTATTATCCACATATTTTATTATTATACTAGCTATACACGCGATTTCTTCCGCATGGAATTAGAATTTATTTTTCTAAAATAGAAGTAACCTAGTAGTAGTAAGTTACTCATTACAACAGCTACCTACCAATAAAAGTCCTGGCAAAATGGGTCCAACCATTTCAGAGATTAGCCGGAACAAACAGAAGGCAGACAAAAATTGTAAAAAATGTTATTTTGGTGTATGTACGTACTTATATATTATATATTATTATTATTATATATTCATATGCATGTACTTCGTAAAAACGATTATTTCAATATTACAAACAAACACTTCAATTTTATTTATATGTAGTTCAATTTACAAACTTTTTCATTAAGAATGCAATGGTAAAGTTTGTAAATTGTACGGCTTTAGAACATGAGGAAATATTCACTTCTTTATTCATACTTCTGTAAATAATATTGATGAAATGGCATAAAATCTAACGATGACGGTAAGTGGTAACTATCGGCTATATACTTCAATAGTTATGTATCAAGCCTGTATACAATTCAAATGTTGTTTTTACAGTGTATAGATATGATGATATCTCCGTATATTGTAACTTCACTATAACGCAAGCGACAGAAATAGAGGAAAGGGAGATATACTCGCAAATGACTTTTTACTAAGACTACCTCAGCGATGTTAATCTAGGAACTTAGAAAGGAGATGTACAATCATTTTCAGCTGTAGCGCTATTATATTAAATCTAACAATCACTTTCTTTTAAAGATTGGATTTCAATCGGTTTTCCATCGCTGGTCCCGAACAAATGAATCACGTATGCAATCAGGATCAGTTCATCGTGTCGGGTGGTAATCCTGTGCCAGCCATCTGCGGCGTAAACCAGGGTAGCCACAGTAAGTACTTAGCTCAACTCATATCGTGGGTAATATATTTTTTTATACGGGTCACGTAAGCTTGTATATTTTAAGTCAGTATAAACTATGTATTTATTTAATTATTAATATTTTAACTATTTATTATACATACATACATAGTGTGTTCAAAAAGTAAGATTTCTCAAGATTTGCAAGCAACGTATAATGTATTCATATTTTTGTCCCTTATATTGTATTCCCTTGTACCAAACATATGTTCCCAGTTTCAAGTATATAGCAGTTAGTTAGTTTTTGTCAGATAAAAAGGTTAATTGTTATTTGTTGTGCTCCACTCGTATATTAAGTAATGGCAACCCACTACGATTTCGCACATCTACAATTATTTTTGAAATTACACACTGCTAATGTAATTTTCTATATATATCAACGAGAATTAATTAAATGTACCTTTGATGATTTGGTATATCAATTAAATATATTTTTTAACTAAAATAGTTATAATGTCGTTCGTAGTTGGTCTTTATAGTTCCACTGAACGAAAATGGAGGCGAGTGCAGGGGGCACTTCAAATCCGCGGAAGGACTTATGGACCGGCTGAAGTTGAACTTCTGGCTGACAGATACGACTGTAGTTTGAGCACCGCTAGTGGTTGAACCTCGGCTCAGGGAGACTTAATTGAATGGAACAAGGAATTAAGTGAAATATATCAATTTAACTTTTCAACAAACCTCCAATATAATTATAAGACATTTTATAACAGAATTTATTATAAAACATAAATAGTATTTGACTCCATATGTACCAGTAATGATTAAGTATTACGTATAATCGTAAATGTATGCGTATGTTTTGGTGCCATAACAACCGCCAGTAAAACAACAGGTGAAAAGATCTACAGAGCTCTATAAATGCAATAAATAGCTAATAAATAGCAATAAACCAACTCCTATTTGTTTTTCATGCTCTACTTATCCCTTTGACATTTCAACTCGGATCTGTATAACGTATTTCTTATTATGTTTGTGCAGTATTGAATGTTTATTTTGACTGGACTATTTGACACGATATCACTTTGTACGGGTAAACAATGCCTATTTGAGAATAGCATACAATACCAACCTTTAACCTTTTACATTAATGTTTTCCATAAACATAATGCATAAACGCAAAAATAGTAATCTTATTATATATTTAATATATTCTATGACAAGCTTTTCTCCATTGTTCCCCAAATATACAGAAAAGTATGTAGTATACAGTCTTTAGAGAACAAGTCATAAAACTTTTGAGACATACTTTTGATGTTTTCACATAAAAATCTAAGTTATTACAGACTTTAATAAAGAGGAATGTTTCCTCTTAAGTGTGGATTTATCAAAAATCCTTTGTAGTGAAAGCCTAGTTCCCAAAATAATTAACATTTAAAATTTTCAGTTTCCAAACATATAACTGGGGTCTTTTGAAGAGCAAGGGTCTATTTTAAAGCTAGATTTTATCATAAAATATTCATATCGTGCAGTCTGTATAATAAAATAAAATTTTATTAGTATTGTTATACATAATGTAAATAGTGTAAGGTATTTTTGAGTGTAATATGCAGCAGTGTAATGTATCTAAGAAAACAATGCATTTGTAATCTTAATCTTACACGATATATTTCATTCTTAGACACTTCCTAGACACTCTCTACTACTACATTATTGTGTCTAGTAATATACTAAAATATTCCTTGACCTGACTACTACTATAGTACTATATTACTTGTTGTAATTATAATGTTGGCACCTATGTATATCAAGAAGAATTTATTCAAGTCAATAGACTTCAAAATATACACAATTTTCAATTCACACTGCACCAATGAAAGCTTGTGTTATGTGTTCTAGAAAACTATAAATACTTACATTGTTTGTAAATAAATAATTAATATATAATCATACTTATGAATACAAATGTTTATACTATGGGAGGAAACAAACCCGTAACAATCGAAAGTAAAGAGGTGTGCTACACCGCTAGACTCGAAGCCGCCAATTATATAATTCCTGGAAAATATAATATGTGTATTATGGCCAATTACACAATTAGTACGAAGTACTTCAATTTTCTTGTTCTAATTGATGTATAATATATAAGCTATAAATCATGCCGTATGTACAATATGTATGTCGTAACTACAGATACAGTTTTTTTGTGTGTTTTATTTTTGATGACTGTATGACAAACATCAAAATATCTTCACAGTCTCAAATATATTGTATTGTATTATAGTGTGGATGTACAATATGCTACTATTAATTAGGTATAAATTGGAGCCAGTATTAATAGAGTTATCACCAATTGTATTGTAGCTTGCATCATAGTGTAATTATCAGTGACTATAAACAGATTTATTATTGTTATTTATCTTATCCTATATTTAGGTACCTCATTGGAGTAACATTTCTATAAAATAAATATACAAACATTTATCGTTTTGCAGTGTACATAGACGCGGGAGTAGGTACTACGAATCCTGTGAAACTAACGTTTGTAACCAGTGGAAATTCGTTCGAGCGAATGTGGAAGGTAAAAGTTACTCAAATCCCCTGCAGTACTATATACAAAGGTAAGTCACATATTGCAATTCTGATTTACTCTGTTTCTTCAAAAGGCGGAAACCAATTGGAAATATAACTTAGCCAGCCACCTAACATTCGTATGGGTGCAATTTTATTGAAAATGAAATACGGAACATGTTACTTTGCTATTGACGTAGGCACTCGTCTGTAGATGAAGAAACTTTTCAAAGAAAACGATTATATTTTTATTTCATGGAATAGTGTTATAACAACATAAAATATCTATATTATTTATTAAGTTTATGCATTACGAAAACAATTGTAAAAGTCAATCAAATTTGGTCAACACTAACAAAAACTTACTTACTTCCAATTTTGAACAATAAGATAATAAACATTTCTAGCCATCTTTAATATGTTTGTTTTGTATCTACTTTATGTTTTTATACATACATAATTTCTCCAGTAACACAGGATCTCTTGGAACTAGATGGCGTTGTGTGAATTGTCCAGGGTTAATTCTAACATTGTTTTCCAGCGGAGGAAGGCTGTCTTCAGTACTACACCGGTGTGTCTGGGCAGCTTCGTTCCTTCAACTATGACCCAGCATCAGGTCTTCAGCTCAGTAACCAGGACTACGGTATCTGTATAAGAATGGAGAGAAACTTCTGTGGAATTCAATACACTGCATGTCCTGATACCGGTTTGCTATTTTTGAGTGATATGTTTATATTAAGAGTTAGACTTTATCGAGTTTGTCTCTTTCCAAAAGTTAGTTATTCTAATGCCATCTGTTTGGTATTATTTTCTTTGAAGAAATCTATAAAAAGTTTTAGTACCGTGTATTAATTCGTTTATAATTAATTTATCAATTCATTTGTTATTTATTTCAACAATGGGACTGATCTATTCCATTCCATGTAATTATTCCAGCCGGTTTGGTTTATATTTAATTTTAAATTTTATTTCTATTACATCAGTAGGTGTGCTTTGTTCCCATAGTGAACTAATGTGGTAATGTTTTGGGAACTAAAAAGAAATATATTCAAACTTCGTCGTCTTACGAAGACTGCCTTATTTATTTACCTTTCGTGAAATAATTGTTTTATTAATTTTAATTATATGTTTTTTTCAGTTAACAATCGCTCCCGCTCATTTACTCTGAGCGGTAACAGTAATGGTCCAGTAAATGCCATGATTGGCTCAGGAGCTGGTCCCAACAATTGCGCCAATGACTGGCTGTTGGTACCATGTGCTGCCAACGTGGGCAGAATACAACCAGCCCAAGCTCTTTGCACAGATAGGATTTGCGGCGGCACTTTCTCGGCTGATTTGTCGATGCAGCCCGCCACCGTACTAAGTAAGTAAGCTCATTAGTTTCTATACAGTCGTCTTATGACCGTTGTATATAAGACTCTTATTAAACCGCACAGAAGGATATCTATAATTATTTATAAGTACTAGTAGGGAGAGTAACCTTGAGCAATATAATATGTTTACCGAGGTACAGCCGAAGGCATCACTGTCTTACATATGTTCACTACTAAGTTTGTCCAGATCATGGATTTTAAAACTATATCTTAATCCAGTTAAATTACGAGATACAAAAGGTAGAGGTTTAATAGTCCACTGAAGAGGTAATTTATGGGGTATGCTTCCACGAACGTCATGTGAATTACTTGTATTAACATGTAACTTTTCAGTCATGGCTAGTTGCAAAATATTAAAATAAATATTACCAACTTAGTTACATGTTCCATGACCCCGTTGACGTCATATTGATTTTTTATAGATATTATAAAAAATATCTCACTGATAAATATGCACTGAATTTTTCGTGTAATCATATTACCCTCGGAATCTACCAAAGGCTCATGTTCGCCTAAAAAAAAGCAACTCGAAATTCATATTCGCCAAGCTAGTAACAGCGTACGCAAATAAAATTCTGCAGCAAAAATTTCTAGCTCGTGATTATTTAGATTTTAGAGAGAAAATTCCAGGTTGTTTGCTGTATCAATCATATATCATAAAACAAACATTTCAAAAAATATTCAATTTATATAACATCGGATTGGATTTACTATTTCCTAATAATAAAATTTGATATTTCCTAGTCTTAGATATACCTACCTAATATACGTAGTTGCTATATTAGGTATATCTAAGTATATCATAAAAATAATATTTTTTTTATTTGTATAATATCAGTATTACCTTAATCTAATCTTAGATATATTATTCTTAATGTATATAGTTGATATGCGAGCCCATAACAAAAAGGGTATATAACGTAATTCAATACAACATAACCTTCGACGTCAATTATATGGCGTCGCTAGCAACATCAAGGCATTTTTATCTAATTTCCCCAACCGTAAACGTAACTTAATATACAACGGTTTTCACCTAAAATTACATCAATTTGGGGTTGTTTTCCGCTGGGACCAGTATGACGTCATATTTAGCACCTGATGTCTGTTTCTATTTTAATCAAATTAAAAGTATGATAATAACCTTCGCACATGCAATATTTCATAACTATTCCAATACTTGGTAAGAATTCAAAATTTACAATTATTCATACTTGTTTGCTTTTTCCCAGGTACTGTGAAGCCGTTTCGTCTATGGTTTCATACAGACAATGTAGAGGCACCAGTGGACATAGATAATCGAGGATTCTGTTTAAATTATATACAGCAACCCTGTACCAATAATGTTATTTAAGTAATATATATAAGTAAATAAATTGGACTCAGTTTAAAATTACTAACTATTAATGAACTAACAATATTAGATACACAAATGCCAACCAAAAATCATAACCCAGTAGTTGTCACTATCAGATTTTTTTAAGTAGAATATGTTCGAGGGGATCATATTTTACTTTAAAAAAAGAGAAAGACAATTTTCGTATTTATAATATTAGTATGGATTGTTTTACCTATGGATTGTTTTATCACGGGTACTAAGTCAAGGGCAGAGACATTTTGAATAAAGTTGTTAATTCGCTTATGCCCACATATTAATGCTTCAGTTGTCAAAAATCTGTAAATACACTGTATTATTAGTGAACATATATAATTTCCATATCAATTATCAAACAGTAACATATAACACAAAGCTATGCAATACGGCAGTAAACAAATCATTTTAACTACAAAATCCTGCATATATAGTTTTGCTCATTTACTCATAATATTATATCTATTATAAAAATCAAATTCCTTTCGTAAGTTACTTAATAACTTTCAAATGTATAAGGCCTACATAAAGTCAAGAGTAACCGGGATATTTTTAAACCATTAGGGTCGGTATCTAATCTCGTATGCATGCAATCTGATGGAATGATTTAAATGTACCTACCTACCCCTAAAATGGGCACGTGATTCTGAAACCCTCATAAATCAACCACAAAAGGGGTCAGCTTGTTAATCCTATAACTTAGTTATTTTATGATAGACATAACATTAAATATACCAAATTGCAGACAAAACGCAACGTGTCAAAACTATATGAAACCAGTTAAGCTACCTCAACGTAAGCCTCGGGGTACATAGTCGAGACAATTTTGAATTTATTGCAGCTTTTTCGTATTCTAATAATATTATTAACACTGCGGTATTAATAAATATCATGTAAATTTAAAGTCGGTCAGATTAAATAGAATACAATTCTGTAATTCAAGTTATCACATTATTTAGTATGGGAAGAATCGGTTAACTATATTCATAATATTAAGTGTTTTGTTATTGACAACGCTTCTATATAGTCCTTTTTTGAGCACTATTTACTCACACATCTGATTAAAGTTATTCTAAATAGGACTGACTTTAATCTAAGTGACACCAAAAGTAAAGAAATTTCTAGATTAATGTACATATAGTTATGAAGTAAATATACTTTTATTTACCTATATTAAACTTCTTGGAAGGCTAATGGGGCTACAGTTCCGTCATGTCTCTGCCTTACCATTGTTATATTCAGCGCACCTTCCCTTCTCCTGTATCTCTAATAATAGCTTTTCATTATTAATATCTGTATAATTTAAAATAATAAAAAATGGACCTACTAACCTCGTCTCAAATAACAAGGACACAAATAAGAACAGAAAGTTCACATTTAAGATTCTATATGTTTAAAACAAATATTCATTCATCACTAATTTTTCTATAATCAACATGGTCACTTATAAACAGAAATTCCTGTCGCATTTATAAATATAATAGCCTGTAATAATAATAATAATCTTTTGCTGACCCTTATTTTTGTTTATTCTACACTGTACCAAGAACAGGAAGATATTCAATCTTTCACTCATGACATCATCCTACAATATTCTCATTCATCAAACGTGATCAATAAATATATCTTTACTTTCTTTTTCTATGGAATATTGAAATATTAAAAACAAGCAACAAAAACAAACAAGTGAACCCTGACTTGCCCACTAAATCTTCAGTTCACACACGTTCCATTAAGAAATTCATTTTTTAGTACCAGTCTTCAAATATTTGCTTGATAATTACAAAAAATGTCTAGTGTTGCAACAGTTCTGAACTGATGCAATTAATTTTCAACCGATAAAAAAACGATAATTTTTTATAAGTCTATAAAGATCTGAGGTAACAGACCTTTTTTAGATTAATCTAATCGCAAATTATTGCTATATCGGAAGACAAGTACAAAATGACAACCAAAACATGTACATATTTTAACGCCAGCTGCATGGCGGCTGAAATAGCTAAGATAAGGCGACCGTCTAGCATTATGTAACGCTTATGGTACTCCACACTCATGGTGTTAATAAACTTAGCAACTAAGGTATCGACCGAAAACTGAAAGACATATTAGAGGTGAGGAGGCGCTATAAACAATTTTGTATAAAGTCTGCCGCAGTAAATATTTAAACAATCCTGGACAATTAACTCAGCGGTATCGAGTCCCAGGGCAAGCAGAGCTTATTATTGGTACTAGATAAATGATATAAATACTTAGATTTCTTTGTAAATTAATATATATAGAAAATACCCAGACGAATACAAACTATCATACTCATGAATACAAATGTTTGCATTGTACATGGAATCGAACCTGCGACCATCAGATGTAAACCGAAACCGAAGCCGAACAAAATAAAGATATTTTGTAATTTTAAATGTAGGCTCCGAAGTTAAAGTCGGTCACAAATATTGTTACTATGGTCTAGCGGTTTTGTTTTGTTTCAAGAAATTAGTACCATTCCTGAAGATTTCATTACAAATTCCGTAATGGTTTCGTCCACTTTCATTTCGCTATAAATATTATTAGATAAGTTGGTTAGTGGAGCAATAATTTACGATTGTATAGCGAGATAGCTTCAGGCGCTTTGTGATTGTATCCTAGCGATGAATCCTTGGCCTAAATTGTGGTTATTTGATGCCCCAATTAGCTTATACTACCGGTCATAGCACCACCAAGAATTAAATTTACATAAATAAAAATTTGCGCATCTCTTCAGAAAGACATCAATTATTTGGCTAATTCTATTTGTTGTTCATATTATATCCAGATTTGTATAAAGAATAGTATAAGAAATATCATACGGAAAATAATAAAAAAAAATATATGCAAGCGTATTTACATACAAAAATTTAATTTTCGAAAAACTTATCTTGGACAAAACTCTATGGATTAGATTTGATATATTTTTTCTTTATTCTTATTTATTTACAATACTAAATTACAAGTACACTTATGCAAAGCCGGATAAATAGAGTATAAATATATACCTATTCCTATGCAGTTGTTATAAAATTAATTTTACAGGTTAACGCCGACAATTTGTTCGCTCTAGTAGATATTTGAAAAATATGGTCCAATTGGCAATTACCAACTGCATCGTATCTATTCCCAGTTACATATCTAGGAAATCCATTCTCACTCGACGACAATATTGAATTATTGAAGCGAAGATTAATATGAGAATCTCGGAAATACTGCAATTTACGTTTCAGATATTCCAGTACTAACGGGCAGAAACTCAATAGGATTTATCGCATCAGTGTCCTTTCCATCAATATTGCACTCGTCGTAATTGAAATCTGAGTTATTGTTAGTAACCATTCGCAGTAAATCCAATCAAATGGTCACAATATCGTTTCCAGGTAGTCGTATATATTCTGCAATACAGTATTCTATATTTTAATAATTACACTACACGTTGTAATTATTAAAATAGTAGGTATAAAATAGGTGTGCACCTAAAATGGACGAAAGTATACTGATATTCTACCCTGATACTTTAGTGAGAGTATTATTAACGTAAGAAATAATATTGAGTGTCTCTTGACACTCGCAGAATAAAAATGGCTTACTGTTATAACAACAAAAAGTGTAATGTTCTTCAATTTTGTATCTTATTACGAGACATTAGATTTCAAGGTTATTTCTAAGGTAAATTCAGTAAGTATTTACCAAGTCTCCTAAACAAAGTTCAAGAAAAGTAGTAATGTATAATGTACAATTTTGAATCTTAGCCTAACGCTGTAAAGTTCGTTATTGTCGGTATATAAACACACAGAGGGTCTTTAAATGCTTTCCTCTTTAGCTGTTGAAATGAAAGAACAGGATTTTTCACAGGAGTAATAACTATATTTAGTCTGATAATTCTCTCAACGTATTTTTGCATTGATATCATTTCAATAGGGTTAATCCTTCATTTAATAAAACTTACGTAACTACAATGAAAAGTTATTTAAGCCTTGATATCAGACTTGAAGCACGTAGCCATAATCCCAATACTGATTTCCAATCGAGTATTAAAAAAAAGAAGACTTACTCGATCTCGACGCAGATTGTTCCTGAGATTTTTCAGCTGGATACACATAGTACAAAAATTTCTCATTTATAAATGTTTGATACCGTCTTTTTGAGTTTTTAATATTAGCGTGATATAGGAATGTAAAACTTAATGAATAAATAGGCAGGTAAACCATATTGACGACTATACTCTCTTATGTATGGTCATAAATCCAAGAGTAATCTTTAAAATTATTTATTATTATTTATATTATTATTTATCGATATCAATATTTTTTTTTTTAAGACAAAACGACACGAAACGAATAATTTACATACTGCCCTTTTAAGAAATTATATCGAATAGTTAAATAATAATGTAGTATGAAGTTGTATACTACATATTTATTTATTTTACATATTTGTTAAATATGTTAAAATATAGAACTAATACCACAGTTCTGAAACAATAAATAGGATATCGAATGTATTTGCGTAGAGCAAAGAGTCAGTGTTTGCGGGATGCAACGCGAAACGTGCTTTGTGGGCAGTTCAACATTGTGCACACAATGTTATATAAAAGCGCAATTGAATCTTATTATTTGGAAATAAATATTATATTTAAATAATAAGTTAAATTCAAGTATACTCATTACAATATTTTTGAATAATATTTTATTCTACTGTCACATAGATAGAAAACTATTAACTACTCCTTTCCTTTAAGTATGGAATAACTTTGCGTGTTTAAGAATTTATGTTAATAAAAACATCTAAATAACATAAATTTATAAGAGATAAAAAATAAATTATGCATTTAGTTCTATAATAAGATGATATATGTATATATATTCTAAAATATAAAAGCAGCTAGGTTTTATGTTAAACAAAGCTATTCACAGCGACGATAATCTCAAAGTCCTTAGGGCACTCTAAGAAAGATATTG